ATTGGGAGAAAAGTACCCAGATGATTCCACAGAGCAAATTCGCGAAGGCACTACTGATCAAGTTTGTGAGGACACAGAGCAAGTTGGTGAAGTTGCATGGTGATGTCACTGAGCTTAAGTTTATTTATTAACATATAACATCCCCCGGAGTGAATGAAAAGGGTTACAAATCAGATACAAAAAACAAATGTATTAGTAAAAGAAAAATAACTACATGAAAAGTAAAGAGCAAGTTGTTGAGGTCACTGAGCAAGTTGTTGAGGTCACTGAGCGAGTTGGTGAGGTCACTGAGCGAGTTTGTGAGGTCACTGAGCAAGTTGTTGAGGTCACTGAGCAAGTTGTTGAGGTCACTGAGCGAGTTGGTAAGGTCACTGAGGGAGTTGGTGAGGTCACTGAGCAAGTTGGTGAGGTCACTGAGCAAGTTGTTGAGGTCACTGAGCGAGTTGGTGAGGTCACTGAGCGAGTTGGTGAGGTCACTGAGCAAGTTGGTGAGGTCACTGAGCAAGTTGTTGAGGTCACTGAGCAAGTTGTTGAGGTCACTGAGCGAGTTGGTGAGGTCACTGAGCAAGTTGGCGAGGTCACTGAGCAAGTTGGCGAGGTCACTGAGCAAGTTGGCGAGGTCACTGAGCAAGTTGGCGAGGTCACTGAGCAAGTTGGCGAGGTCACTGAGCAAGTTGGCGAGGTTGGTGAGGTCGCTGAGCAATGTTCTGAAATGTGACGCGTAAATTAGAATATTTACGGTACTTCTCCAGTCAAAAGCCCAGTAGCCTCTACATGTAAAATTTGAAAAAATAAGAGGGGTGGGTGTTTACCACCTAAGAATAGATGTTTTTGTTTTTTTTTGACAATTTTCGTTCTCCATATTAGGGGGAATATTGTGTCTTTTTGGGGAAAATAAATTGTGAAATGGGTTTGCGTCATTGATTTCCCCAAACACATTCACAATGAAGCAAAATGATAAAAAAAAATTTGCACAATTTATTACAATATTATTTATGTACTGTTGTATATTGAGGCTATTCATAGCCTCAGGGTGGTGCAGGTTATGAGCACTCAAATGTTGGACATGTATTTTGATGTACTGTTACATGTAGGCAGATAATAAATCTATATAATTCAAACTAGAAAATGAGACTGAACCCAAATTTGGGGCCAATGTAAGGTAAAATGTGCATACAGTTTGGTGCATATAGCAGTGGCAATATCAGTCTATGATTAATCATTTTAATATTAGTCAATAAGTGGACGTTTTTAAATCACTGACAATCTGTTTGAGAAAAACTGTCAAATAATATGCATTAAAATGGCAATAGCAACAGTTTCCATGGAGACCAGAATAAGAACACATTTTATCATTATAAACACACTATAAATAATGTCATTCTTTTTTTGTAGTTTATTGTAAGACACTCATAATTGTTTCACCATATGTCACCCTCTATCTCTGGGGGATTTTCTACCTTAAGCCTTGTAATTATTATGTTTTTGTGAAAATTTTCTGGAAAGGAAGCCGATTCAAGATTCTCATTTATCAGCAAAAAGACTTTGTTTTAGGGGTTGTCCATTAGCAACTTTGGGAGGGGGGGGGACGGGTAAAAAAAATCTGAACTGAAAACTGTACAGGGAAAATTACCAAAAAAAACGGCTTATCATGTATTCTCGTATTCTTTTTTTTCAGTATTGGTGAAAATATAAAATTATTAATAGACAGACCTGATGGGCAATATTGTTTTAGATTTCATAGAGACAGAGTCTACTATGTCAGGTAAGACAGGTTGGAACATATAAAGTAATATTTATGTGTGATGGCTGTTTATACTTTTAACTTTTCCTCCACCAGATTTTATTGCTCAGATTTTTCTGCACTTTCTTCTTATATTCTTTTGTGGAAATGAACCCTAATTTTGAAGCCAACAGACAAAATTTGAGTAAATTTTCACTTTTTACTGGTACTAAAAAAAATTTGTCTTAATTTCTGAAGGAAAATGAAGACGAGAGTATTTTGTGCTGCTGGTTATTCTTGTCATGAAACTACAGTATCTTGATTATCCCTTGAAACTGAATAGACAAATTGAGAAACGTGTTTTTTGGATTCCTACAAATCAGGAAAAAAATACTGAGCTATCACAAACAAATGACTTGTTTGGGCAAAAATATTTCTAAATCGTTGCTTTTGTGTAAAAAAATCTCTTGCATACGAACACCTAATTACACACAGAACACTTTTCCGGGTTTTTTGAAACCAAAATCAACATCCAACTCAGAAACAATTCAACGATGGTCTTGCAGTTTCTCAACTTGTCTCTTTAAAGCGCTGCATGACTGCAGTGGCTATTTAGGATAGTACAGAGAATTAGAGCATACCTCATTTTTGCATCACAAATTGATAATTTCTTGTTATCGCAGGGTAAACCTGAGGTGATCTAACTGCGGTGAATTGTTCATAGGTACACTATTTTCACAGAAATTGTTCTAAGTTCTGGAGTTGAAACTATTTATAGTGACTTATTATTTTTTTTTTCCAGGGAAGCTTTGATGAAGAGAGCTGCAAATGTGACCAGAAAACATCTTGTTAGCTTTGGCACTTGTTTTGGTAAATTCACAAAATCGTACAAGTTTCGTCTGCACATAACAGCTTTAGACTTTTTGTCTCCATATGCCAAAGTAAGTAGAACAGGAGCGCAGTGCCCTCATACCCGGGTGCAGTGCCCTCTTACCGTAATGCTCAACAGTTCATAATGTCTTAATTTCTCAGGTTTCTGGACCTATAATTACTTTCTTCAGAGGTGTGCTCCCTCTTCATATTTTTTTCTAAAAAAACCCTGGTAGAATATGAAGCAATACTGCTATGTATGAAGTTTACACAACATTATGGCGATTGAATCGGCCAATGCTCAGCAGATGTGATCATGCATTTTTCTATTCTAGTACAAAGTGTGGGTGAAACCTGGTTCAGAACAGTCTTTTCTCTATGGCAACCATGTTGCGAAATCTGGCTTAGGAAGAATTACAGAGAATACTGCACAATATCAAGGGGTTGTTGTATATTCCATGAGTGATGTACCACTGGTGAGTAGATAAAGAATACAGCACAAAACACAAAAACTTTTACTTTTCCAAATAATTACAGTGTTTATTATCATAAATGTGGTGTGAACAAGTAAACTGTGCTTCAGTGTGACCTTGTTGACAACCGCGAAATGTGTTGAAAATTATGAATCGTCAATTTTTTTTTTAATTTTGCTGTTTTTTTGTTGAAATCAATGCTAGCAGATCGTATTTTAACATCACGGTAATTCACTTTTGCATTATGTTAAAAAAAATTACGTCATCAATATTCAGAAATTTTCTGGAGAATTGTCAGTATTAAACAGATTCTAATTGGTTAATAACAGACTTAACCTGTTAGGGTAGGAAATGTTGGGAAACTATCATGCAAAAAAACATGGCGGAAATTAATTTGCATCAAGAGTTTGGGTACGATCGAAAACATTCCACAATGATAATAATGATGAAAATCTTGTGTTGAGCTGTTTTCCCCTACCCTAATATTTTTACACCATAAATTCAGATGGTGTGTAAATAATATTGCAATAAAATGTGCATATTTTTGTTTCTTCATTGTGAAAATATTCAATCAATGGCATCAATGATGCAACTCATTTTGCAATTTTTTCCCCCCTAATCTGGTAAATGAAAATTGTCATTCGGATAATATATATATATATATATATATA